CATTTACTTATTTTGTGTGTGTGCTCGCAGGCGTATCCCATGACATAGGTGAAGGTCAGAGGACAACTTGCAGAAGTTAGTTTCCTTTCTACCATGTGGGTCCTGGGTGGTCAGACTTGGAGCATCAGGCTTAACAGCCTTGATCTGCTGAGCAATCTCATCAGCTCCCTCATTTTTCTTTTTTATAGTTCAAAAGTCCAAACAAAAGAAGGTAGCAAGTGAGAAGTGGACTTTTCATCCCTGCCCCCATCTTCCCAGTCCCTCCTAATGTGTAATGCCTTGGTTACTTTTTTTTCTCTGTGTTGAGACTAGTACATGACAAGAAGCAACATTAAGGGAAGAAGGGTATATATTGCTTTACAGTTTGAGCGGGGTGCATTCCATCATGTCAGGAAGGCATGAATGTGCGAGCAGAAGGTGTGGAAATATGAGTAGAAGACATCTAGTCATTGCTTTCTCAGGAAGCACGGAGTGTAAATTTCTAGTGTGTACGTCAGGTTTCTTTTGTTTGTTTTGCTTGAGTCAAGGTTTTGCTGTTGCTAGTTGACCTCACCTCTAGAGCCTTCTAACTGCTGGGATTAAAGGTATGTACCACCAGCTGAGATCCTATATTTTAGCACATATCCAAGCAGAGTTGAATCTATTTCCCCCCTCTTCCACCAAGTCATAAAGCTCTACTCATTTTGTCCCTGGTGCCATGTGGCCACCCATGCTGTATGTTGTTAACAGATCTTTATACAAACTTGGGCTTCCAGGGTAAAGACGTTTGCCACTAAACTCCAGAGATGAGCTTGACCCTGTCTAGCCTGTGTCCTCCTACCCTTTCTCTAGAGGCACAGACTAGGTAGGTGTGGGGTCCACTGGTCACCTCAGGGCTACTAGGGATATGACTGCAGCTAACTTGATGAACATACCCAGTTTACACTTGTATGTGTACACGCACGTGTATTGACAGACGCTACTTTGGAGGTCAGAAGACAACCTTGAGTGTTCCTCAGGTTTGTCCACTTATTTTTTGGTGACACAGGGTCTCTCATTAGTCTTTCATTAACTCACCAAGTAGGCTGGTCTGGCTGGCTAGTGAGTCCCAGTAATCTACTCCTCTGCCTCCCCAGCAGAAGTGTTGGAGGAGGGAGCTACTTGGTCCTGTCCGCCCGGCTGGCGTAGATCTGAAATAATCACACAGAAACCGTATTATTTAAAACACTGCTTGGCTTCTTATTGGCTAACTCTTACATATTAATTTAACCCATTTCTATTAATCTTTATATTACCACGAGGTTGTGGCCTACTAGCAAAGTTTCAGCACGTATATCTCTGGAGATGGCTCCATGGCATTTCTCTGACTCTGCCTTTCTTTCTCCCAGCATTCAGCCTAACTTTCGCTTCCTACCTAAGTTCTGTCTTGTTATATGTCCAAAGCAGTTTCTTTATTCATTAATGGTAATCACAGCACACAGAGGGGATTCCCACATTTTTATTCTGTTTAAATAAAAAGGAAAATTTTAACTTTAACATAGTAAAATTACATATAACAAAACAGGTATCAAATAAGAATTACAGTTACAATATTTATATCTACTTTATCCTTTATCATAACTAAGGAACACTATGACTATAACTATAAATTCTTCAACTCCATCAAAGACTCCAGAAGGATATAAGATTACCTAAGTAAACAGGAAGTGCATTGTAAGCAATTTCCAAAATTCTAGAATTGACAGAGACATCTCGCTGCCCAGACAGTCACCCAAAGTTCTTCTATACCATTGGGGCACCCATCTTCAGCCTACCGGCCCACAGTATCTAGCAGACTTTTCCATGAAGCAGAAAATTTCAAAGACAGTTCTGTGTATATTGGCAGTTTGTCAATCACTTTCTTTTATGTCTAGCAGAATGTCTGGCAGACTCTTTCATGAAGCAGGAACCCCGAAGGACCATCTCACCTTTAGACAAGTTCAGCAGTCATTTCTTTGTGGGTCCTGCATGTCCATAAGCAGTCCAGGCAAAAGCAGTTTCTTGCCCACATGTCTAGCAAACTCTATAAGGAGCCTCTTCAATGCCCATATTGCTCTCAAAATAATTGGTGTTGCCAGGAGCAAATGTGTCTCATTGTCATGAAAAGTCCTAAGTTACTAAAACATTTTAAATGCCATATTCTGAAGGTCTCTGAAATATTTGAAGAATACATAACTAACTGAAATATATCTCTAAACATCTAGAAAATCTACCATGACTACAAGGTTGACTATTATAGATGAGTATCTATTAACTTATATTTCTTAATTATATATTACATTTTAAAATGAGCTACATAAACATCATACCTTAATGAAGATCAGAAATACATATACATATGGCAAAATTGACCTTAAATTTGTATCAATAAACCAAGATCCATACAAATGCAAATCTCTACAGCATATCTATATCATAACCCCCTTTAAATATAAACAAAGATTTATAGACAATATTTGGGAATATGTCTGTAGTTTTGTCCAAACTTCTTCCTGCTGATTGGGGGCTCTGGTAATCAGGTCTTTTATGGTGTATCCTGTGTGCTAGGTTCATCTCAGTCAGCAGTTGGGCGAAGTAATTTTTTTGAGGGGTGTTCAAGGTGACCTTTGATGGGGTCTTATTCCATCAAACCATACCAGTCTGGAAGCAATCCACAGGTTCTCATCCTCTGTGGAAACAAGAGAAGAAACTCTTCCAAAACAACATATCCTTACACTCAAATTTTGTTTGAGTTAAACCTTTATATTGGTTTAACTTAGCAGTCCATATAATGAAATGTCTCTCTGTACTTAGCTCCTCCACAGTCAAAAAATTAAAAGACAACACAATAATATAGATAATCCAGACTTTGTAAATTTTCCATTTTTACATGGCTTATTTTTCTTTACTCCTTTAAAACTATGAGTATCTTTACTCTGTCTCTTTAAAGATTTTACCCATTTTAAAAGCATTAACTTTATTTTATGATTCTATAGTCTTTTTCTTTTCTCTTTAAAGCCTACATATATTTCTGTTTTTGAAACAGGGTTTCTCTTTGTAAATCTCACTGTCCGGGAACTCACTCTGTGAAACAGGCTGTTCATGAACTCACAAAGATCCACCTGCCTCTGGGATTAAGGGTATGTGCCACCACCACCCAGCAGTAATATATACTCTTAACCACTGACCCATCTCTTTAGGCTCTCTGATATTTTTACCTTGTAGTTCTAGATGGCCCAGTTCTTGCTGTGTAGACAAGGCTGATCTCAGACCCACAGAGAGATCCACCTACCTGTGCATCCAGTGCTGGGACTAAAGGCATGTGCTATCACATTTGTCATTTACCCTGCTTTTTACCTTTGGTGGTGCTACAGATAGAACCTAGGGTCTTATACATGGTAGGCTAACAGTCTCTAATAGTCTGTATTCATTCATATCCCCACTTTCCCCATATTTATGTGTAGAAGAAAGTTTCTTTATCTTTTAATATGTGTGAGGTTTTTGCCTACATGTATATATGCGAACTACCATGTTTGCCCGGTACTCACAGGCACCAGAGAGGGTGTTGGATACCCTGCAACTGGAGTTACAGATTGTTGTGAGCCACCATGTGGATGCTGGAAACCAATCCTGGTCCTCTGCAAGAGCAGCAAGTACTCCTTACCCCTAAATTATCTCCAGCCCATGTTTACTTTTTAGAAAAAGTAAAAATCTATTGACTATTTATATACATTTTATGTATGTATATGACATTGTGTCTTGTTCATACCAACCCTCCAACTCTCCTCAGAACCTCTCCCCATCCCAACATGTTTCCTTCCCACCATGTCAATACACACACACACACATATATATATACATATATATATATATATATACATATATTCATCAAATCTAATTTGAGCCACCCACATGTGCCCAGCCTCATTTTAAAGTCTTTTTGTAAGGGGCTATGGAGATGGCTCAGAGGTTAAAAGTACTTGCTGCTCTTGGAGGAGCCAGGTCCAGTTCTGCCTACCTTCATAGCAGTTCATTTCTGTCTATAGCTCCAGTTTCAGGGGATCTGAAACTCTCTTCTGTCCTCCACAGGCATGGTATGAAGGTGGTGCATATATATACGTGCAGGCAAATACACAAAATAAAATTTAAAAATCTTAAAAAAGTCCATAACAAAACTTTTTGTGAGACAGGATGTCACGTAGCCCAGGCTAGCCTTAAGTTCTATGTAACTGGGTATGACCTTGAACTCAATCCTTTTGCCTCTACCTCCCAAATGCTAATATATAAGCATGAGCCACCATACTTGGCAATATATATTTAAAATTTCTTACTTTTAAAAGTTAAAAAAATGCTGAGTGTGATGTTTCACGCCTTTAATCCCAGGCAGAGGCAGGCCGATCTCTGTGAGTTCAAGGCCAGTCTGGTCTACAAAGTGAGTTCCAGGACAGGCTCCCAAGCTACAGAGAAACCCTGTCTCAAAAAACCAAAACCAAAAAAAAAAAAAAATTCCTTGATGGTTCCATACATGTATATGGTGATTTCTAGCCTGTTCACCCCCATTATTCTGTATCTCCTATGTCCTTCTCCCACAGAAAATCATCTTTCCAGTGTCCCCTTCTAATTTCAAGTCTTATTTTGGTGTGTATGATCTACCATGTTTAAATAGGGTCTGATGACTTTTCTTTTTAATCTCAAAGGTAGGTGAGTCAGGCAACAAGATGGCTCAGGAAGGAAAAGGCACTTAGCACCCAGTCTGACAACCAGAGTTTGGTGCCCCAGTCGCACATGGTAGGAGAGAGCCTTCTCTCCATGTTATCTTCTGACCTCCACCCATGTACTGTGACCTGCTGGTGCAGGAACTTGCTCATACGTACATGTGAGCAATAAACATACACTAAATAAATAAATGTAAAACAAATAAAAAATTCCGAAAAATAAAGTAGGTGCATCAGGCTAAGGTTACTCTAAAATCTGAGTAATGCAGAGTCATACTCGACAAGAGAGACATGTCTCAGAAATTGCTTTATTCACAGTATATTGGTCTCACAGCTAGATCTTTATGACTGTGAAGGATTCCATCACTAGGTGGTGATGGTGCTCCTTAATGGCGTCTTCATGCTGATATCTTTTGGATCAGTGCTTGAAATTCTTCGAAACTGACTTCTCCGTCTCCATTCTTATCCAGCTCTTTAAACAGATTGTCTAGAGTACTCGCACCCTGGTATGAGATAAAAAGAATGGGACAGGGGAAGGAAGACAATTTAGATAGGATACTGAAACACATCTCTAAAATTAGGAGGAACTGTATTTTCCTTCCAAGAAGGCAGCCTCGGTTTCAGTCACATGCCACTGGTAATGTGATAATAGGTGTGGGGAAGCCTGCTTCAGCTGGAATGGTGGTTTTATGGCACATAACTGGGTTCTATCTTTCCTTTTTATTTTATTTATCTATACAGGGTCTCATTATGACCTGAAACCCACTATGCAGATAAGACTAGCCTCGAACTCAACAGAGATCCACCTGCCTCTGCCTCCAGAGTTCTGAGATTAAATGAGTGAGCGTACCATAATGCTTGTCCCTCCCCCATTTAAAAAATACTGTGTGTGTGTGTGTGTGTGTGTGTGTGTGTGTGTATGCATGCGTGCATCTGTCTGTGGGCATGTACATGTAAGTGCAGCTGCCCTTAGAGGCCATTAAATGGCATCAGATCCTTTGAAGCTACAGGTGGTTGTGAGTTACTGGTGGACATGAGTGCTGGGATTTGAAGCTAGATCTTTTGAAAAGAGCATCATGTGTTCTTAGCCACTGAGCAATCTCTCCAGCCCCCTGGCTCCAGCCCCCTGGCTCAAGCCTGTAATCCCGAACCTGGGTTCTCTGCAGCAATAGTAAATGCTCCAAACTGCTGAACCATCTTTCTAGTCCCTCATCTAGCTATTTTTATGTGAACAGTTCAGTAGTGTTAAGTATATATTCTTTACTATGCAACAAATCTCCACATGCATGTCTGAGGTCTTGGGTTCAAGTCCCAGCAACACATACACAAAGTTATTGTGAACTATAAGAAAATTAGGAAACACCAGATTATAATGTTAGTTTTTTTTTCAGCTTTGTGTGTGTGTGTGTGTGTGTGTGTGTGTATTCTAAAAACAAAAATCATGTGGATTTGGGCTGTAGCTCTGTGACAGAGCACCTGTTTAGTCTTTGCTAGGCCCTGGGTTGTTTGTGGCAATATCCCCACAGGGCTGTGGGCAGTATTTCTGAGGCAGCCCTCAGCCCTAGGCTCTCAGCTGTGTGTGCTCTCCCACCCCCAGAGGCAGCGGCCTCTGGCCGCTCAGGTTATGCACTCACCTTCAGGAGAGTGGGGAATTCGGACTGAATCAGTAGCTTCAGCTCCTCCTTTGATAGCTGGTTTGGGTCGCCTTCTTTGGCTGCATATTTTTCAAAAATGCTCTTCATTTCTTCGGGAGACTTCTTGGCACTCATTCTGCTGTCCTGTAAATTGGGAAGAAAGTAGATTTACCAAAATGCTAAAGTGTAGCTTTCATGCCAAGTGCTGCCAACAGGTTTTTACTCCCCTCCCTCTTTATTGGGAAAGACAGGGGAGAAAAGGGAAAAGGGAGAGAGAAGAGACGTAGTTGAGAACAACATTATTGGCTCCTAAAGTATTTTAAAAATAATCAAGTTAGGAGCTAGGGAACATAGCTGTTAGCAGAGTGCTTGCTTAGGCTGCTGGAAGCCCTGGGTTCTATCCCTAGCAGTGCAAAAGCCAGTGGGCATGTTAAGAACTCACCAAGCTGCTTACCAGTCAGAGCAGGCACTGGAAGAGTCGAAGAGCAGCAGGCGATAAGCTGATGAAGTGTCGAGGAGGAGCGCCTTTATATAGTCTTTACAGACACATCACCTGATTGTGAAATTCCCCTTTGTTTACTATTTAAGGGTAATGATTAATGGGTTCTGAAACCAAGCGTAAGACTCACAATTAAGGGCAAGCTCCAGTAAAGAGCTGCTACTTCAACAGTTGCTTAATGGGTCAGAGTCCTAAGAGTAAAACCTGGATTTTCTTTTCCTTAGAATACTTTTCCCCCCAATATAGGATTTTGATCTTGCTCACAGCTCACATTTCTGAAAGCAATGGCATTGCAGATTTAGGCTTGAGAAAATTTTTCTTCCCATGTAGAAAAAAAATTCTGTCACAGAGGGACAGTATTACACGGCATTTAAAAATACTGAATTGGGCCAGGCAGTGGTGGCCCCTGCCTTTAATCCCAGCACCCAGGAGGCAGAAGCAGGTGGATCTCTGTGAGTTTGAAGTCATCCTGGTCTACAGAGTGAGTTCCAGGACAGCCAGGGCTACATAGAAAAAACCCTATCTCAAATCCCACCTTCTAAAAAGGGAAGGTAGATCAAAATTTCTGATTTTATTTTGCAAAGCAATATTTTTGAGTAACTTGGCATTTTCTTTCTTTTTGACTATTGTTCCTATCCGTGCTTTTAAAAATTTCTGTATACTTACATTCCTCCTTCTCTCCCTCCCTCTTCCTCCCTTCCTCCCTTCTTTACTCTCCCTCCCTCACTTCTGGCTACCCTGGAGTTTGCTTTACAGATCAAGCGAGCCTTGAACTTATAGAGATCTGCCTCCTGGCTCCTGCCTCCCATGTTGGAATTAACAGTGTATGCCACTATGCCTGGAGATATTTCTCCTGTTTGTAACAAAATATATTTTGCCAAATCATTCTAAAACTTATGAAAACACTCAGCTCACACTTAAACAATTGGAACTAGTTCAGAAGTTTTGGAATAGCCAGATATTTGAAATTAGAGACGAAATTGATTTTTTTTTTCTGGAAAGAGGCCCATAAAATAACTAGAACATTTCTTGGGGACATTACTCTAATGCTGATTATAAGTCACAGGTAGGGGGTTTTGAGATTGATTTCAAAAGCCCTTCAACAGCTTTGAAGCACTTGGACATTTAAAAATTTCCCTGACCTGCAGTATAGCACCTACAATTTGATGTTTGAAGTACTGGACTGTACTTTGCTCAGATGTTTTTCACCTCGAAAACTCTAGGACCTTATTTACATTGGAGAACAAATGTGAGATGCTATGATGTTGCTTACACAATTCTGGTCATTCCTGAGCACTTAGCATCCTATAGGTTTTGGGTGTTGTATTGCAGTTTATATGACTCCAGTACAGACTTGTGTATTAACCCACTTATTGGAGTTACTGGCATTGTAGGTTAGTCTGTCAGTAGGTAGGCAGGTAGGTCTGCCTGTCTACTGTGTGTATATATGTATATATATATGTATGTATATGTGTGTGTGTGTACATATGTATGCATGTGTATAGTTGTATAGGGTGTCAGGTGCTCTATCAGTCTTCTGCCTTATTCCCTTGAGATAGGGTCTGTCATGGAACCTGAGCTAGGTTGGTAGTCAACAAGGCCAGTGAACCCCTTCTCTGCTCCCCACCCCCATAGTGCTGGCGTTACAGGCACACACACAGCCAGCCCTGACCTATTCCATGGGTGGTGGGATCCCTATTCAGAGCCTCATGCTTATGCACAGGTGCTCTTAGGCACTGAGCTGTGTCTCCAAATCCTTATTTATTTGCTTATTTTTGGAGCCAGGGTCTCTCTCGAGGCCCAGTCTGACCAAGGATAACCTTGAACTCCTGATCCTTCTGCCTCTATCCCAGCAGTGCTAGGATTGTAGGGGTAGGCTACCATGTCCAGCTGGCATTGTTTTTACTTGATGATTATACACAATAGTATTCTGATTTTGGCAATGTTTTTTTCAAAGGTTTTAGAAAAATTTCCAGTGTTTTTGTTTGCTTGTTTTACGTGTAAGTTCTAGTCTACTGGGAGGAAGTGAGCTTTTGTGACTCATCATAGTAAGAACGACAGTTTTTCCTCCAATATCGTTTGTTGTTGTTGCTGTTGGTTTTGAGATGGGATCTTTTTATTTATCCCAGCTCACAATGTAGTCCAGGCTATCCTTGAACTTCTTCCTGGTCCTTCTATCTCAGTCCTCCTGACTGATTGCCCCACTCCAACATCTTTAAGGGTTTTTATTTCATTTTGTTTTACATCTAAAGCAAAGTGGCAAGAATAATACAGAACTCTACCCTTTGATTAGACTCTACCTGTAAACATTTCCACATGTGCTTTTTTACTACACTTGATCTTAGCCAAAAGGCCGAGAAGCGATTCACATGTGCTTTTTCTGGCCAATAGTTTCCTCATCATCAATTCTCTGAGGATAAGTTGTGGAATCTCACTGGTTTCTTAAGGACAAGAACTTTTTTCTGTAGAGCCTCAGTGGTGTTATCACAGCATATTTCAATCTCAATTGTTTTCTCAAATGATCATTTTGAAGCTAAAAGTGATGGGACTTGGTGTGATATTTCTTGTGCCTATATTGAAAAAACTGATTTTAATCACTACATATAATCTAAATATCAGTAGATTATATGACAGACGTTTTATATAGCATACTTACTTCATATCATATGGGATATATGATTTGTAAAAGTATAACAAATACATAATGCACAAAATCCATGTCTAGTTTATGTGGTGCGGGGATGGAACCCATGGCTTCATGCATGCCGAGCAAGCACTCTACCAACTAAGCTACATACCCAGCCCAAAGGACTTTTCTTCTTTAGGCAGTCTATGCTCTTGATTTTGAGCAGAATAACACGGTCACAGAAGCTGCAGGCACTCAGAGTCTTCTTGAGGGGGTAAAAAAATTCTGTCCAAAGATCAAGCAATTGAACAGAGAGGTGCTACTTAACCTTTGCCTCTCCGTTTTTCCATTACCAACCTTGTACCTGTCATTCTTTCCATTTCTCTCATTTCTAAGCACACTCTTGAACACACCCTGCATTTATGGCATGTTTCCACACGTTGTTAGTTAATGTTTCATGAGACTATTGGTGGATTTTGTGTTTCTAACTTCTGGGCTACCAGTGTACTAAGATAAAAATAAAAAGAAGACAAGAGAGATATCACTAGATGATATGAGCATGCAAAAGTATGAGGAGAAGCGCAAAGTATTTTTCACGTTCTGTTAGCATTTGCTATTTGCTATAAGCCTGAGTTCTGACAGGCAGCATTAGGTCACTTTAAGCAGAGATTTTCCCTTGAAATGAGATGTGTAACCTAAATGACTTTTGGCCTATATGGTGCACACCTATAATCCTAGCACTTGGGAGGTGGAGGAAGGAGAATCAGAAGTTTAAGGTCCTCCTCTGCTGTTCATAATTATGCCCATCTTCAACATGACTCATAAAAAATCCAAGTCAGAGTAAGTCTTAAAAAAGAGAGAACCCCCCAAACCTTGGGACTGTTGGAGAGGAACAAACTGGGGAGTCTTTTTTTTTAATTATGAAAGTTGGGCCTTTACCTTAGGCTTGTTTTTAGCTAGCCCTTATGATTTAAGTTAACCCATATTTTTCTTTTTTTATTGCTTTATAAATAATACCATTGAAAATTTCCACTTCCTTCCCTCCTCCCATTTCCCTCCTGCTGCCCCACTATCCCTCCCCCTCCAGTCCTAAGAGAGGGCAGGGTACCCTGCCCTGTGGGAAGTCCAAAGCCCTCCCCCCTCCATCCAGGCTTAGGAAGGGATGCATCCAATTAGAATAGGATCCCCAAAAGCCAGTACATGTAGTAGAGACAAATCCCAGTGCCATTATCATTGGCTTCTCAGTCGGCCTCCATTGTCAGCCACATTCAGAGGGTCCAGTTTGATTCCATGCTTGTTCAGTCCCAGTCCAGCTGGATTTGGTGAGCTCCCATTAGAACAGGCACACTGTCTCAGTGGGTGAACCAACCCCTTGCGGTCCTGACTTCCTTGGTCATATTCTCCCTCCTTTTGCTCTTCAGCTGGACCTTGGGAGCTCAGTCCAGTGCTCCAATGTGGGTCTCTGTCTCTATCTCCATCTGTCCCCAGACGAAGGTTCTATGGTGATATTCAAGATAGTCATCAGTCTGACTGCAGGGACAAGGCCAGTTCAGGCACCCTCTCTTCCACTGTCCAGGGTCCTAGCTGGGGACATCCCCGTGGACACCTGGGAACCCCTCTAGAGCCAAGCCTCTTGCCAACCCCAAAATGGCTCCCTTAATTAAGATATCTCCTTCCCTGCTCCCATATCCGTCCTTCCTTCATCTCAACCATCCACTCCCCCAAGCTCTCACTGGGGAGTCTTTGTAAAGAGTACTTGAGAAACACACGAGAAAGTTTGGGCAAATCACTAGAAATGGGGCTAGGGATATAGCTCAGTGGTAGGGTTTACCTACTGTGTATGGAGCTTTAGGTTTAATTACTAGTCCTGTCTAAAGAAAAGCAACAGTAGAAAGAAGGGGTGACGATGCCTCAGCAGATAAAGGTGCTTGCTGCTAAGGGGGATGACTTGAGTCCTGTCCCAGCTAGTTACATGGTGGAAGTTGTTCTCTGACCTCCCCACACACTCTGTGGCACACAAGCACCCCCCCCCCCCACACACATAAAAGCACACTATAAAGAAATGTATTTTTTTTAATGAAGTAGAGGGGGAGGAAGAGGGTGGAAAGGGTCTTCTGGGAGTAGGTGCTCCTGTTTTGTCCAAGTGGAATATTCAGACAAGGAACCAATTCCCAGGATGCAGCGAGGGAGGCCCCATCCACACTGCCATTAAGGAATTTCATTGTTGATAAGAGACACAGACTTCCACACACTTGGTTTAAGGTACCCTGGGACACTGAAGAACTTGAACTCATTACACTTTTACCTAGGTTGCAGATTATCTCAGCCAAGGTTAATTAGTGCCATAGTTATCCTGTGCGATGCTTTACATCTCCCAAAGCTTTATAGCTTATTGATTTTTCTTTTCTTTTTTTTTTTGTATGCTGTATGGCTCTGTT